ATCAAAATTTCGTTCCTCATTTCCTAGAAACCAGTTGGAATGAATTTAAGAAGAAATGAAAATACAGTGTAGCGGCTAATACTTAAAAGATAGAAATTTGAAGGCATACCTCAGGAACGTGATTGCTGGTCACCATTGTAGACGAAATGGATCTAAATCTGTGCGAGGTTGTAGAAAGGTGGCTTGAACAACAGTTTGGCAGGGCAGAAGACCAGCTAGGGTTAAGGCTTTGGTGGTGACGGTTTTGACTGTTGAAGCTTGCTCAAGAGAAAAGGGGAAACTAAGCAGGCTGAGTAAGTTAGAAATGATACTGTTGGGGTATTATATAGAATTCATCCCTAGAAATCAGGAGTCACGCGTATATTTCGGAATAAGCAGTTGCAACACGGTGAGCAGATAAATAGAAATTTTGGAAGAAAATTATTTTTATCCCAAAATTGGGGGGCATGTGTTTATACCAAAATTTGGAAAGAAGAACATTGAAACTCGAAGCTTTCAGGATTGTGTCATCAAGAAATCGATTAGATGTGAATCGGTATCAGCTGATTTAGATGCGATGTCAGAATCAGCTATTTTATAGATGACGTCAGCAGACGGCGTCAATGGGTTATGCTTAAATGGCGCTAGGAAGATGTGTCAGACTCTACAAATAAGGAAAATTAGGGTCCAAGTTTTTATTAAATTAGAAAGTTTTCTTTTATTTTAAGATTGTGATGAGTCATATTTGAGTAAGATTCGTATTTGGGTTCCAGGTATAAATATTAGATCATAGTTATTGTACAAGGGAACAAACACTCAAACAATACAATCTTTTCAGCTTTCGCCATCGCATTAGGAGCAGGAGTACTATAGATCTCGACGAGTTCTTCAGCAAACAGAGCTGCATCGACTGATAGAACTCCAGCTTGCTTGTGAGTATCGTCACGACTTATATTGTGCTTATAAAGCTGCATCAGCTGATTGATCTTTTATGAGCTATAATATAAGTTAGTTATTGATCCATATCATTGTTCGTAAGGCTGTATTAGCTGATTGATCTCTTACAAATTATAATATATATCAAAGTTATCGATCTTGTGTTAAATAACTTATTGTTTAATATTATATCACCAGTTATCAAATCTGCTAAGATTAGTAAGATTTTTCTTGTTGTTTTTTGATTGATTCACCAATTATCGATCTTGTTATAATTAATGTTTTATTAATTATAAAAAAATCACCCGATTGAGATAGAGATAGATCGGCATCATATCATCTTAATTGGTCGTTCTTTGATCTGGTCACGCTTTAAATCTTATAATTGATGGCTTAATTCCGCTAGATCGTCTGTTTTATCTCTATTCCAATCAAATATAGTATGCATCTAAAGACATGTTTCAATCTTGAATAAACTCACTAGCTAATGAGATCTAATCTAATGACACTACCATAGCTGCATCGATCCGGTCGAACCTAGCTAGTAAGACTTTAGATTAGAAATTATCGATTAGTGGTCTTGTTCATGATCAAGATATGTACTCTGTTTGTTTGCTATGACTGCATCGGCTATTTTAGCCGATTTGTCTATACTCTCACGTATATAGCATGTTTTCATAAATTTGTCAACATATAGATGGTTTTATATATTCTTTGGCTTTAATTTGTTATCATTATCATAGTTGCATCAATCCGATCGAACCTCACTGTTGATGATAATAGATTAGATTCAAACTATTTGTAAATTAATTTATATTAGATAGTCGATTTATTCGCATGTTATACTTTTTTCATCAAACTTATCAGCTCGACGTTTTATATCGATCATGTTCCATTTAGCCGATGATGCTTTCTTATATCGCTTCTTTGTTGATTATCAATTCTCTAATCGATCGATGACATCAATCGACCATTTGGTCACATATGTTGGAATTTTAATGAAAGATCTTCTGATTTTGTATTTGGAAGTATTGTACTTGTTTTTGTCTAGATTAATCAGTCATCATAAATCTGCTATGATCCATGAGCATCGGTTATTGTGATTCGTATCATTATCATTTAATATTATCCGAAAATCCTTGATTTAAATATCTTTATTTCATGGATACGCCGGATATCGACTATTTAGTCGATAGCCTTATTGAATCAGCTATCTAGCCATACATTTAGAACTGTCTGGTGCAACACCGACATGTTCCACCTTAAATTACTGATAAGATTTTTTCTCCTTGTCAATTGCAGGTCAAATTGATTGGCACATCGTTGGGTTTTTATAATCGGCTGGTTCTGTGTTGAAGCCAAGCAGATCTCTGGTCTCGTTCCACTCAGATCCTCCAACTTGCTGTGTGTTGATCACATTGCCACATTTTTGTGTGAACAAATAGATATTTGCATTTCAAGGTGGACTATTTGAAAATTTCAAACTTTGTGCCTGCAAAGCTTTCAGAAAGGACACGGACCTGCAAACGTCGTAATACTATACAAACCTGCTAAGCATGAACCACTCTGCATGCGTTTTCCTAAAAAGCAAGCAAAGACAAGCATGGACCACTATAAATAGGGTTTGAAAAATTTAAAAGTGATTCTAGATAAAATTAATATCAGTTTATGTAAAACCAAATCAAGGATCTTGTCAGAGCCCGGTAGGGAGGGGGCCCTGGATGGCGGCGGCTAGGGTTTGGGGGACTAGGTGCGTCGGCTCAGGGGAGAGAGAGAGGCACAGGGGAAGAGGACCGAGGCTTAGAAGGGAGAGGAGGGGATAGAAGGCCCTTGGCCTATTATACTCTTGCTTAAGATTGAAAGGTTGCATCGCCCCTGTATTTATAGTCCTGGGAAACTTAGTCCCTAAGCAATCTAATCTTGTCCTTCAAGCAAGCATATCCTATCCTCCTAGATCTGGATGTTGGCAGTCGCGGCGGGAGGCCACCCCTCCGCTAGTCGCGCCCCCCTCCTGGTGGTGTGGTCAGCCCAGACCTAGCCGGCCTGGGCCCCCTCCTAGACCCTCCATCAGACGTATGACAGATCTAATCGTGAAAACCGTTTCTTAATTAAATATTATCATGAAGAAATATCATGGAAAAAGCTAGATTTGTGTTCATCAGTGAAAGTAACGTGAGATGAGAGAGGGGAGGCGTGTTGCAGGCAGCAGGTGCAGCTTTGCATGCGCACGCAGCCAAGCAGGCCTCATGAGAAGACAGTGCCCCATACTGTATGTCTGCTTTGTATGTCTGCTTTTGGTAGTTCCCATCTGGTCGTTTAAACACACACGCGTCCCTCATCCGCATGTGTGGGTAGCTACCACACCTGGGTGGAGAGTTACCACCCGTCCTAGAAAATCCACACTCATATTAATTAAATTTGTTTAATTAAATATATGATGAAATGTCTTGATAATCTATTGCTTTGAATATGTTGATGTTAATATATTTTTCGAGAACCATAGCAAAGATTAGCAAATTAAGTTTGACTTGGACAAAACTTAAATGAACAATAATTTAAAACATACCAAGTACCTACCAAATGTACGCCTAAGAAACCATTGATATATAATAACTAGAGATTATATTTTAAAACGCTATCACACTAATGGTTTTTTCATGGAATGTAATTGCCACGTTTCACACACTTTTCAAAAAGAATTATGTGTGACCATATTAGCGGTTGTTTTTTTACCGGAACAATCATAGACAAGACATAATTATATATTGCTGACAATATTCTTAGGATGAATATTTTTCATGTAAAATTTATATATTCACAGTTGGTACAATTATGAGTACTCACCTATGGCTTTTATAACTAATATTACTAATAAATTTTGAGGTTTTCTTGTAGTGGTATTAATACAACAGTTTAGTCTGGCATCTAGGATTGTTGTGTGCAAGATTTAAATTGTTGTGTAATGGTTAAAAAAACTATTGTGGTCATTGTTGTGTGCAAGACAAGTTGTGAGGTTTTTATGTAGTGGTATTAAATCGCAATAGTTAAAAATAATCGGGGTGGTCACTGTTGTGTGCAATTTAACCATTATTATGAAGGGAATTGATGATGTATATGGATGCCTTAAAGCCTAGAAGGGATGAATGACCATCAAGTTCCTCCAGAGTTGTGGACTATTTAACAAAAGGAATTAGAAGGTGCAAAAAAGAATTGATGTTTTTCGATAATGGAAATAACAAAAGTTACCAAATACACTCTAGTTTCTATGAATCTGTTGATTCGACTACCACCCATGTGTGTCAACAATTTGATGTGTGTACATTAAATAAGATGAGAAAACAATTGATAAGTTTCTTGTTTAATCTTCGTCAATGAAGAACATAAACCAACCAATCTAGGAGGAAGAACCATCAGGTGGACGCAACACATAGTAAGATGCAAATAGATAGCTGAGTGAAATGGGCCTCCAAACTTTTCCAGTATTTTTATTTGGGTCCATAAACTCTCAAAGTGATCATCTGGACCCTTCAATTTCTTAAGTGGCGCATTGGAAGTGTGAATAGGGGTCCATTCATGGTTGGACGAAGAGTGATTTTAGAATAAACTGCTTTAAAAAGATGAAGGATTCGGATGATCATGGTAAAAGTTTATTGAGCTTTGTTGTGGTACACCTAAATAACTGTGAGCTGTTCATTTAGTTAGATCGGATGGTTAGAGTCATCTATTACTCATACTCATAGGAGGTAATATGTGAATATATATGTATATTTAATTTTTAATTTTGTAAAATAGGATAAGTAAGGAAATTTTTAGATATAAAGATCTTTTTTTAGATCTAAATGATGCATACATGATCTACTAGATATGGTAAATCTTTTTATTTTGTAAATTCAGATATGACATAATTTAATTAAGATACACTACCTATTATTTTTTTTGTATGTATGTCATCCCTACCGTGTTAGAAATTTAGAATGCACTGTATAGGAGTATATAAACTTACCTATCTACCACCACATCATCATACTCATACATCCGGCTGGCGATGGACCCGTCCGGCCGGGTAGATCCGGAAAGTGTCTAGCATGCGGCGGGACAGTGGCGGCTCCGTGTGGCGGAGCGGCGGAAACGACATCTTCTCGCGCTCGTCGAGAAGAGACATGGACGACGACGGGGAGGCACTGCGCTGGGCCACGTTAGAAAAACTGCCGACACGCGACCGCGTGCGCCGTGCCATCATTTTCCCGCCGCTCCCTGCTGGAGACGACGCGGGGACGGGGCAGGGGCTCGTCGACGTGGACGTGCTCAGCCTGGGCCCCGGCGAGCGGCGCGCGCTGCTGGAGCGGCTCGTGCGCGTCGCCGACGAGGACCACGAGCGCTTCCTTGTGAAGCTCAGAGAGCGCCTGGACAGGTACGACGACGTTCATTCCTTTTCCGTCCTTGGCTGTTGAGTTGTTGTTGCTGTAGATGATGGATTGTGAGTAGTTTGTGTTGTAGGTTTGGGATCGACATGCCGACGATCGAGGTGCGTTTCGAGCACCTGAACGTGGAGGCGGAGGTGCGCGTCGGCAGCAGCGGCATACCCACCGTCCTCCACTCCATCACCAACACGCTGGAGGAAGCAGCCACTGCGCTGCACCTACTGCGCAGCAGAAAGCGGGCGTTGCCCATCCTCCACGACGTGAGTGGCATCATCAAGCCTCGCAGGTATGGTGTATATACAGCAGAAGATTCATCGGTTTCTCTTTTTAATTAATTACAATTTTTTTACACTTACACAACAATTAGTTAATTAATTAATTAATTTAATTAATAGCCAGATATTTCTGTGTTCTATCTATCTAGTTCTTGGCAAGGATTATTATTTACTTAATTTTTTCCGTTACTAATAGCTCTGTCGTGTGTTAATTAATTTCCCAAAAAAAATGCATGGGCATGGTATATAGAATGACTTTGCTGTTAGGCCCACCCGGATCAGGCAAGACCACCTTGCTGCTGGCACTGGCCGGAAGGCTCGACAAAGACCTCAAGGTTTCTGGCAGAGTGTCCTACAACGGGCATGGCATGGAGGAATTTGTGCCTCAGAGGACGGCTGCGTGTACATCAGCCAACACGACCTCCATATCGCAGAGATGACAGTGAGGGAGACGCTCGCCTTCTCCGCACGCTGCCAGGGTGTTGGCTTCCGCTTTGGTAATAATACTTCACTTGTGCCTCTTGCATAGACATGCATTCTATATATATGCAGGATTTAATTTGGGCCTCTGATGAGATATGCTTATATTTTGTTAATAATCCAGATATGCTTATGGAGCTGTCGAGGCGAGAGAAGGTGGCTAATATTAAGCCTGATGCTGATATCGATGCATTCATGAAGGCAATATCACGCAGACTCATGAAACACGTGCCAAGCACGTTCTCGATAAAAAGATCACGCAGACCCAAAAAAAAAAGTCTATAAATGTCTTCTTTCTCTAGGGATTGGGAGAAATTAAAAAATAATCCAATAATAAAATAGGAAGTAGTTTCTTGATATCGGTTTCAATTTATGAGATCCGAACAGGTCCTAAGATTTGATTTAATTTCTATTTCTATTCACTCTCAATCCAAGGCCTAGGATAACCCTATGCGATTGATTGACATTATCAGGCGTCTGCAGTGGGAGGCCACGAGGCCAATGTGGTCACTGACTATTATATTCTCAAGGTACATGCATCTTCTGGCTTTTTTTATTTTATTTTTTGCTGTCCAGAGAGTATGAACCTGCTACATGTATTTTTCCTAGCTGGCCATGTATTTTTCCTTCATGAGTAGCAAGATAAAGTTATAACTTACAATCCATAAATACGTATTTCATTAAGAGCAAGAAGAAGTTACATGTTACGATCCATGATACTAGAAAGTCTATTCTTATACCAAGAATACAAATCGGAAGGCCTGACCTAGCTAAACCACCCTTGAGAGATGCATGAGCCATGCAAATAGCTGAACATTTGTGTTCAGATAACTTCCCTTGACCTGACGACACAATTCACTTCTATGTAGATACTAGGACTGGAGTTGTGCAGACACAATGATTGGAGATGAGATGCTCAGGGGCATATCCGGAGGACAGCGAAAGCGTGTTATGTTGGCCCACAAGATCACCGGCTCAGGTGAGTGAACCACTCACCAGTCTTACGGAACACCCGCTAGTGTTGCCGAGCACCCACTAGCCGTGCCGACCATGAACAAGTGTTGTCCGTCTCCACACACTATGGTTAGAGCTAGAAGAAGAAGGGAGAACAGAGCATGTACACACAATACAAAACACCAGCGTTGGCCGAAGCCCTGTCTGAGAGATGGCAAATTTGAACACTTTTTACTGAGTTGCCGTGATAGTATATTTATATAACTCTATCCATCTAGTCCCAGTACAGCTATCCTGCTAAAATAGTGACTAGATAACATACAGGGCTGACTCTGCGCCAGCATCTGCATGTGCCTACAGTGCTGTAGGTGAGCAGTTCGGCGCCTGCACCTGTAGTGGCTACAGTGTCACGACAGGGGGCCTTTTCGGCGCCGCCTTCCCCTTGCTGTGTTCACACAAGATAGCAGTAGATTATCTAACAATCTTCTCCTAATCCTACTGCTAACCCTTATACCCTCTCCATGTCGATCATCTCCTTGAGCTCCGTGAGTCGAAGACGTCCGAGTGGCTTGGTGAGGACGTTCACGAGTTGCTGACCAGTTTCGACAAACTCGATGACGATCTGCCCTCCATCGACACAGTCCCTGAGAAAGTGGAACTTCACGTCGATGTGTTTACTCCGGTCGTGAAGAACCGGATTCTTCGTGAGGGCGATGGCGGGCTAGTTGTCCACCATCGGCGCTGGTGGGTGAGCTTCCACACCGATCAGCTCGCCCAGCAGCCGGCGTAGCCACACAACTTGGCACGCTGCTGTGGCCGCCGCTACGTACTCTGTCTCGCACGTAGATAGCGCCACCACCTTCTATTTCAGCGACAGCCATGAAATTGGGCCCGACCCGAGGAAGACGAGCACGCCAGAGGTGCTCCGTCGTCCGTCGATGTCCCCCGCCATGTCTGCATCGCTGAATACAGTGAGCTGCAGTCTACTCCTGCCAGTCTTAGGAAAGATGATCCCCTAATCCACCGTCCCTTTGACATAGCGCAGTAGCCGCTTCACCGTAGCCCAGTGATCCTCTCTGGGATCCTCCATAAAGCAACTGACGTAGCCCACGGCGAACGCAATGTCCGGTCTCATGTGGACTAGGTAGCGCAGACCACCGACGATGCTCCGGTAGAGTGTTGCATCCACCTTCGCCGCGGTACTGGCCTTCGTCAGCTTCAGCCGCTCCTCCATTGGAGTCATGCATGGCTTGCACTCAGCCATGCCGCTCTGCTCCAACAGCTTGGAGGCATACGCGCTCTGACCGAGCGTGAGTTCCTCCTTCCCCTATCTCACCTCGATGCCGAGGTAGTAGGAGAGTGCGCCGAGATCGCTCATTCAAAAATGAGCCGTCATCTCACGCTTGAAGCTGTTGATGTCCTCCGTGCGCGTGCCGGTGACGATTAAGTCATCCACATACACGCCGACGATGAGCTCCTCCTTCCCCCGTCGCCGCGTGTAGAGCGCATGCTCGGTTGCGCACCTCTGAAATCCAAGCTCGCCCACCATGGCGTCAAGCTTGGCATTCCATGCTCGGGGAGCCTGCCATAGCCCGTAGAGCGCCTTGCGCAATTGGAGCACCCTGTGCTCCTCTCCCTTGACTGCGAAACCTGGAGGTTGCGTGACGAAGACCGTCTCTGCCAACTCGCCGTTGAGGAAGGTCGATTTAACGTTCAAGTGATGGACACGCTAGTCCTTTGCTGCTGCCAAAGCAAGTAGTAAATGCACCGACTCCATGCGCGCTACTAGAGCAAAGACCTCCTCGAAGTCTATGCCCTCGCGTTGAACAAAGCCTCGGGCGACGAGGCACGCCTTGTGCTTGACAATGGCACCGAGCTCGTCCCGCTTGACCTTGTACACCCACTTTAGGCTGATCAGATGACATCCTAGAGGTGGATCGACGAGCTGCCAAGTCTCATTTTCCTCGATCGCCTTCATCTCCTCCAGCATCGCCCGTCGCCAGTTTCCGTCCCGCTCGGCCAGCGCGAACATGGGTGGTTCCTCTGCACTGACCAGCAGCAGCTCTGCGTCATTGAGCAGCTGACCAGCCAGTCCTGAGGGTCCTGTGCCACCGATGATGTTGTCCAGCCTATGGAACCACACCTCCTCACCTTTGTGGAAGGCATCCACGAACTCAGTGATGTCACTTGAAGGTGAGGCGAACTCGATCAGCGTTGATAGAGTTCCCTGTTCCGCCGGAGTGCTTGGTACATTACCTAAAGTGCTCGGCACTACTTCTGCACTTCTCATCATAACTCCTACAGTGTTTGGCCACACTGTAGGAGGGCCTAGCCTCAGTTTTGGAGTGGTTGGCACCACTGCAAGACGTCTTGGCTTTGCCACGGGAGTGCTCGGCACCTGTCCTGGAGTGATCGCCACCATTGCAGAACCTCCCGGCGCCACTCCTGGCGTGCTCGACATCCCTCCAGGAGTGCTCGGCACTCCTCCCGAAGTGCTCGGGATCCCTCCCGAAGTGCTCGGCACTGCCCCAGGAGTGCTCGGTTCTACCGCTGGAGTACTCGGCGCTCCTCCTGGACTGCTCGGCACCTCTTCCCTGGCGTCTCCACCACCGTGGATGACCAAGTACTCGACAATGAAGATGCTGGTGAAGCCACCAGCTTTCCCCGTGCTCGGACTGCTCCAGTCCCAAGCCACCTTCTCGTCGAACAAGACGTCGCGCAAGACAAGCACCTTGTCTCCGCGTGGGTCATAGAGCCAGTACGCCTTGGTACCCTCCGTGTAGCCCAGGAACACCATGGGTGTGCTCCTGTCCTCCAGCTTGGTGAGGTTCGGCTTCGTCTTCCTAACGTGGCCGATCCAGCCAAATGTCTGGAGGAAGGACACGCTCGGCTTGCGCCCATACCAAGCTTCGAACGGCGTCTTGCCCGTCAGGGCCTTGGTCGGAGAGCGGTTGAGGATGAACACCGCCGTGGTCACCGCCTCTCCCCAGAACCTTACCGGCATGCCTTTGGCCTTCATCATGGATCGGGCCATGCCGACCACCGTCTGGTTCCGCCTCTCCACCACGCCATTCTGTTGTGGCAAGTACGGCGTGGTGTGGTGTTGCCGCACACCCTGATCCGCACAGTATGCAGCGAACTCCACCGAAGTGAATTCGTCGTTGCGATCAGTCATCAGCACACGGAGCTTCTTGCCGCTCTCGGCCTCCACGCGCATCTTGAACTTCTTGATCGCCGCCGCCGCTTCGTCCTTACTCGTTAGGAGTGCAGCCACATGTAGCGACTGCAATCATCCACGAGCAGGAGGAAGTACCGCCGACCACCGTTTGTAGTAGGCGTGATTGGCCCACAGAGGTCGCCGTGGACGAGCTCGAGAGCGTCCTTCACACGAAACTTGGTCGCCTTTGGGAATGGTAGCCTCCACTGCTTCCTGGCCAGGCAGCTATCACACAGCTCGCCTCTGTGCTTGATGTGGGGTAGCCCTCGGACCATCTTTTCCAGCCGACCAAGCGCATCGAAGCTGAGATGTCCGAAATGGGCATGCCACATCCATGGTTCCTCACAGTGCCTTGCTGCCAGGCACACCGGTTGCTCTACATTCAGGTCGAGCAGGTACAACCAGTAAAGGGACCTCTTCACGTTGGTGAGAAGTTGCTGCTCCCGGTCCCTGATCCTAAGGACTCCGTCCTTGATTAGTACCTCGCTACCGCGCTCATCCAGCTGACCAATGCTAATGATGCTGGAACGCAGCTGCGGGATGTAGTATACATCTGTTAATGTGTGGTGCTCCCCGTTCTGGCACCTGAAGATGATGGTGCCACGCCCTTGGATAGCCACCCTTGAGCCGTCACCAAACTTCACCATACCGCTAACATCATCGTCGAGCTCGGAGAAGGATGCCTTGGAGCCCGTCATGTGGTTACTGGCACCAGAGTCTAGATACCACCGCTGCTCCTGGTCAGCGCCCACATGTCCGAGGTGGACTTGGGCGCGTGGTTCATCGAGGTTGACAGTCTTCAGGGCCTTCCTAGGTCCTTCCACCGTCGTCGCCTCTTCCGTCTCCTCGGCCTTGACATCGTGCAGTGCACAGAATGTCGCCATCAGGATAGTGGCCTCATCCTCATCATCGGCTTTCGCCAGGTGAGCCTGAGCCTTCTTCTCTTGCTTACGATTTGGGCACTCCCATGCCCAATGGCCCATCTTCCTACAACGCCGGCAGGCATTGGGTCGACCTGCTTCTTCTCCAAAGAAGCCTTGCCGAGGCGCTTGCCATCACCACCACAGCTGGAGGAGGCTGCCTTCCCAGAGTTCCTCCGAGCAGCCCACTCCTCTTCCATTAGCAGGAGTTTCCCGCTGTCCTTCGTTGCTGTCGCCTACTCTAGGCGCTCGTCCACCACCCGCAGATGGCTTGTCACATCCTCAATGGTGAGGGTGGACAAGTCCAGCATCGTCTCTATGGAGAGAGCGATCTGGATGTACTTTGCCAGCATGGAGTGGAGGTACTTGGAGACCGCCTCCTCTTCGCCGATGGTGACGTCGTGGCTCTTCAGCTTGCTGATGAGCGTCTGCAAGCGGAGGGAGAAGTCCTCCACCGTTTGACCATCCTTGAACTTGAGGTTGGCGTACTCCTGCTTTAGAAGCTGGGCCGTCGCCTTCTTTGCGCGGTCGGAACCGACGCGCATCGCCGCAATAGCCTCCCATGCCTCCTTAGCCGAGCTCTTTGCTCCCAACGGCTCCCTATACTCCACCGGTACAGCAGCGAGGATAGCCTCCAGCGCTGACATGTCATCCTCCTCATTGTCGGTGCCATTGTCAACGGCATTCCAGAGCCGTCGGGCTCTGAGCTTGACCTTTATGGTCACCGACCACTCTCCATAGTTGGTGCGAGTCAGCATCGGCCAACTGGTGCCGCTGACCTCCCGCACCATGCGAACAACGGCCTCCGGTCATGGCTAGGCAGCCACAACAGTGCCACTGTTGTCGCCCATCTCCGAACCGCCCGTCATCGCCAGCGGTTAGTCTGGCGACGGCGCTTGTACGGCTCTGATACCACTTGTTGGTCCACAGGATCAACGGCTCAGGTGAGTGAACCACTCACTAGTCTTGCCGAGCACCCTAGCCGTGTCGACCACGAACAAGCGTTGTCCGTCCCCACACACTATGGCTAGAGCTAGAAGAAGAAGAAGAAGGAAGAACAGAGCATGCATACACAGTACAAGACACCAGCGTTGGCCGAAGCCCTCTCTGAGAGATGGCAAATCTGAACTCTCTTTACTGAGTTGCCGTGGTAGTCTATTTATACAACTCTATCCATCTAGTTTCAGTACAGCTGCCCTGCTGCAATAGTGACTAGATAACATATAGGGCTGACTCTGCGCCGGCCTCTGCATGTGCCTACAGTAGTGCAGGTGAGCAGTTCGATGCCTGCACCTGCAGCGGCTATAGTGTCACCGCAGGGGGCCTTTTCGGCGCCGCCTTCCCCTTACTGTGTTCACACAAGGTAGCAGTAGATTATCTAACATGTTACAAAATATACACTAAACCCATTCAGCTCAAGAACATAATTATTTGGCTTAACTACTGCATGCTGAGCAGTGTTGTGAATAATTTTAATCCTCATTTGAATATACACTTACCTTGTAGGTGAGATGCTGGTCGGGCCAGCCAGGGCACTTTTCATGGATGAAATCTCCACTGGGCTTGATACCTCCACTACGTTCCAGATTGTGAACTCTATCCGTTCGGCTGGGGCTGGCCAACCAGCCTCCTTACATGGGCACTATTCACATGAATCAGCCAGCAGTACTTTTCTCTCACGTAAACGAACCAGCAACGATACGAACCAGCCAACCGAACAGGCTGTCCTTGTGTCACAGCCGTTATCTCCCTTCTGCAGCCGGGGCCTGAGACGTTCAACTTAGGGCCTATTTGGGACTACTCTGCTCCATCTTTTTCAGCTCTGCTCCATCAACTCCACCACAGACTAGCTCCACTGTGGAGTTTCTGGAGCAAGTGGACCTGTTTGGCATGCATTTTAGCTCTAGCTCTAGAAACATGAGGTTTCTATAGGAAAGGTCTACTATGCCCCTGATCGATGTTTGATGTATATTCTGTTGTATGCAGAGCATGTGTAATTGAATATTTTTTTACCAATTCAAATATGGTGTAAATATTATAATCTCATTTAATTTATTGGAGAAAAGTAAAAAACAAATATTTCGGCCAAATAATTCTATACTTTTGTCATGTAAATTTTAAAGCGCTTGATGGATAATTGACAAAGTTCATATTTCGGATACAAATAATTGTCCATACATGACTAATGATAAATAAGATAATAGAGTCCATCATTCTAATAGAAATAGTTATCCATAGATAACTAGAGAATAGTTGCAATGTAGAGATTTCTCCATGTCTTAACAAGCTTGGTCACCTTATCAACGAGTGCATCAGGCGATGTGTCAGAATCCAGGTTTGGATACATTTGCTTGTTCTGCGCCTTCCACCCTCGGACAACATGCAAACCATCATAATCCCAATCCATCCTACCTGCAATCTCAGTCACAATGTTCATCAGCCTCTTTGACTTCCAAATAGCATACCAGGGCCTTTGGATGACTTTGTCAGCTCGCCCTTCACAAACTCGGTACCAGTAATTCTTGGGCTCCTGACCATTGAACTGCCTCCAAATGATGTTGCTCTTGTTCCTCTTCAGTTGCATCGGTGTTACCTTGTACGATGGAACCTTCCGCACCGTGATCCGTCCTGGACCCTTCTTCTTATCCCACCGCTTCCAATCCTTCAGGAAGTCCCCTTCCTCCACCACCGGCGCACTCTCCTTCAAGCGCTCAAAATCAAAATAGTACCGGAAATCTTTTCCATCCACATCCTTCCCATCCACCGTGTGTGCCCCAGACAAACAGATATTCAGATCCATCATGAACGTCCGGTTGAGGAACTTGGCTTTACCGAGCCTCTCATGTAGTACAAGTACTTTCCCTTCTTGAACTCTGCCTCTGATCCGACGACAGGGATTGTGTCATTGATCTCCGCATCCACAGGCGGCGGTGACACACGGGGCCTCTTCGAGCCCTTAGGATACGGTCGGCGAACTGCATTCGTCCCCAACCGGAACTTGCCGACGCCGACGACGATGTCAAGAGCGCAGCCATCGCCGAGGTGAGGCTGAACCGGCGGTAGTCCTCTAGCGGCGCCACGACTTCTCCCGGCGGTTCCGGAACCTCAAGCGACGTCGCCTGGCCGGGCTTGGGGCGGGCACCGCGCCCGTGAGCTGAGAAACACGATGGACTTGCGGAAGAAGGCCTCGGCGTTGAACACCTTGACGGCGGCAAGGACGCGCTGGGTCGGAGCAGCTTGAGTGGCGCGTCCGGGTCCTGTGTCTGTTGTTCATGCATGGCTGGGCAAGGCGGAGGCGGGCGCCGACGGCCGTGGCTGCGTCGCTATCATCAGCGCCGGGGCCGGGACGGCGGAGGAGGAGTTGAAGTCCTCACCGGTGGGGAGGAGCGAGTCGTTGGGGACGAGGAAGGTGGAGTTGGGGAGGACGCGGGAGAGCGAGGTGGTGATGGCGGCGGAGGACTGGAACCAGGGGTCCGGCGGCTAGGGTTTGGGGAGGACGGGCTGGAGCCTAGAGCAGAGAGGCGACGGGAGTAGAGGATGAGGGCGTCGGGTGGGGGGGCGACGGGAGGAAGCAGGAATAGAACGAAACGGTATTTGCGTAACGAGTGGCAATTGCGGGTAATTACCTCCTAACTCCATGAGGACATACGAAACGCTGGTTCGTGGAGTACCCTCTGAGGAGCTCCAGGAAAAACATGGAGTTGGACCAAAACTCCATCTTTTTTTGAGAGCAGAGTTTGTGAAGTTGGATCTATTTGGCAGGAAGGTTTGGGAGCAGAGCTATAAAAGGTGGAGCAGAGCAGTCCCAAACAGGCCCTTATTCGATGATATCATCCTGCTCTCAGATGGCCAAGTTGTGTACCAAGGTCCCCGAGAGGATGTGATCGAATTCTTTCAGTCTATGGGTTCAGATGCCCTCAGAGGAAGGGTGTAGCTGACTTCTTGCAAGAAGTACGTAGAAACATTATTTTTATTACACATGTATCATTTAATTTGCAACCTCATATTTAATTAATTACATGTCTCCATCGGTTGGATTCTTGTATAGGTGACTTCAAAGAAAGATCAGAAACAGTACTGGGCATGGCCAGACAAGCCCTATAGGTTTGTTCCAGCCAAGGAATTCGCAACTGCTCTCAAGTTATTCCACACTGGGAGAACTTTAGCCAAGGATCTCGCCATGCCATTCAACAGGAGCAAGAGCCATCCAGCTGCACTGACCACCACCAGGTACGGTGTGAGTGGCATGGAGTTGCTGAAGGCGAACATAGACAGGGAGATCCTTCTCATGAAGAGGAATTCTTTCATTTACGTGTTCAGAACATTCCAGGTAACTATGTATATATATAGCGATTAGTAGTTGCATGAAATGTCTTTTTTTTTACCACTGTATAATCTAATCCTAGAGGAAAAAAAACCAACTGATTGACTCGGTGGTGACTTACTTGCATTGTTGTTCTGGCTCTGCAGTTGACACTAATGTCAATCATCGTAATGACCGTATTCTTCCGCACAAACATGAAGCACGATTCCGTGGCAAGTTATGTTCTTTGGTATCCTTATGATCATGTACAATGGCTTCTCTGAACTTGCGCTCACTGTCTTCAGGCTACCTGTTTTCTTCAAACAGAGAGACCTTTTTTTCTATCCAGCATGGGCGTATACGATACCCTCATGGATCCTTAAGATCCCAATCAGCTTTATGGAGGTTTCTGGATATGTTTTCTTGACATACTATGTCATTGGGTATGACCCAAATGTAGGAAGGTGAGCTATATTGGAAAATTTATGTGTTACGTTCAAAGTTTTAAATATCTGGCTATAGCTGCAGCTATAGGCGGAGATAGATGCTGGATGAGATGAAAGCTAAGATATTCGACTTTTGGCGCTAACAATAGCCAGCAACTAATAGCCGGAGAAATCCAGATATAGCCGCTAATGGAGCCACGTTTTAGCTGCAGCTGAAACTTTGCCGGGCCAGAAAAGTCACCCACGGTCCAGCTAAAATTTCCTGGACTCAACTTTTCCCAACCCACTCCCACACCCCGTAACCCTAGCCTGTAGTCTCGGTCACGCTCGACTCTCTCCCAAGTCTCTGAGAAAAAGGGGCAGGCGGCGGCGGCAGCCTCTCTTTCGATGGCGGCGGCGGCCTCTGCTTCCGAAGCAGGCGTCGGGCCAGGGCCAGCAGCACAGCCAGCCGGATCCCCCAAGCGGCGGGTGCTGCCTGCTGCGGATTCCCCAACCCAGCGCAGCTCGAGCCGCGACGGAGTCAGCAGTCAACACTACCGGAGGCAGCTCGAGCGTCTTCCCCAACTCCAGTTGTCTTCCTCAGTTCTTCATCTTGCCCAATCCTAAGCAGCAGCAACAACACCAAGTCGTCGAACACCATGAAAGATCAATCAAGTAACTTTCTTCATCTTCCCCAATCCTAAGCAGCAGCAGCAACACCAAGTCGTTGTACTGTTGTCTTTAGCTCTACAGTTTATTAGCCTGTGATGGCCACCTATGAACCTGTGATTTACTCCTCTGAAGTTTCAACTGTCATGTGTTTTTTCTATTTTTTGCAAAAACAACTAAAGGGCTTAGCTGCAGTAATCTCTGGCTATAGCTGCGCTTAGCTGTTTGGAAGGTCCGCAGCTAAGAGGCTTAGCCGGAGATTTAAAACCTTGGTTACGTTATTTAGCAACTTTTTTTTAATTTCTGTATGCTGTGTGAATGTTCTAACATCATAAGTTTCCATCAGGTTCTTCAAATAGTATCTCATAATATTGGCAATTAACCAAGTGGCAGCGTCACTCTTTCGATTCAAGGAAAATGATCGTTGCAAATGTCTTTGTAATGCTCGTTATGATGGCTGCCATAATCTTAAACTGTTTCATTATAATAAGAGGTAACAACTCATCTTATTACAAGAAGAAATGTAAAACCCCATCATTCATTAACCTATGCTCCCTTGTTTATTTCTCTATAGATAAAGTGAAGAAATGGTGGATATGGGGCTATTGGATCTCCCCACTGATGTATGTGCAGAATGCCATCACAGTGAATGAGATGTTGGGGAATAGCTGGGACAAAGTATTGAATAGAACTATTTCCAATGAGACTCTGGGTGTGCAGGTCCTTAAGTCCCATGGGGTGTTCCCGGAAGCCAAGTGGTATTGGATAGGCTTTGGTGCATTGCTGGGATTCACAATTTTGCTCAATGTTGTCTTCACTTTTGCCCTTACGTATCTTAAGCGTGAGGATCTTGCTTCGTTCTAAGCTTGTTTTCTCATTCCATTTTTCTTGGATTTGTCAAAACTAACCTAAGCCTAAGGGTGTGTTTTTTCTTCTTGTTCTCCTAGCAAATGGAAACTCCAAGGCATCAATATCAGAAGAGGAGCTGAAGCTAAAGTGTTCCAATGTGAATAATGACATTATGGATGCCAATCCCTTGGCGTCAAGGGCTACTCTTCAGCTAATAGGAAACAACACTGAAACTAATTTAGAAATGTTGGAAGATGATTCTGGCCCTAGTCAAAGGGGGATGGTTCTCCCATTTCCCCCACTTTCTCTCAGTTTTGATGACATTAGATACTCCGTTGATATGCCACAGGTACACAGATAGAAATTGCTCTGATTATATTATGAAATTGGGTAAGATTGATCACTAGTTTGTAACCTTTGGTACAACATCAAATTCAGAAATGAAAGCACAAGGTGTAGTTGAAGACCGCTTGATACTCCTCAAAGGCATTAGTGGATCTTTTAGGCCAGGGGTGTTGACCGCACTGATGGGTGTCAGTGGAGCCGGCAAGACTACGTTGATGGATGTATTAGCAGGGAGAAAAACCGGCGGCTATGTCGAAGGAAATATAAGCATTTCAGGATATTCGAAGAATCAAGAGACTTTCGCTCGTGTATCTGGATACTGTGAACAGAATGATATCCACTCACCTCAAGTGACAGTTTATGAGTCATTGCTTTTCTCTGCTTGGCTCCGTCTTCCTAAGGATGTAGATTCCAACACAAGAAAGGTAAGTGGTATGTGTTAGTCGTCATTTTCACCTATATTAAGTATTTTGTTGATAGTGATTTAAATTTTTACATGCAGATGTTCATCAAGGAGGTCATGGAGCTTGTAGAGCTGAAACCACTGAGAGATGCTTTGGTTGGACTTCCTGGAGTAAATGGTTTGTCAACCGAGCAGCGGAAGAGACTGACGATTGCTGTGGAACTTGTTGCAAATCCATCCATCATCTTCATGGATGAGCCAACCTCAGGGCTCGACGCACGGGCAGCAGCAATTGTAATGAGGACAGTTAGGAACACTGTTAATACTGGTAGAACTGTGGTTTGCACGATCCATCAGCCTAGCATTGACATATTTGAACAATTTGATGAGGTGAGTGATATTTTAGCCAGGAGCTTTGTAGATAACTTTGCAAAAAAAAAATCACATTCGATTTGTTTATTGTCACGGCCTTTCCATTCCTTGAGCCAATTTGTAAGCTTTGAAATGTATGATAACTGTCTGCAGCTTTTTCTAATGAAGCGGGGTGGAGAAGATATCTATGCTGGTCCATTAGGTCACAACTCTTCGGAGCTGATCAAGTATTTCGAGGTAAAACACTATTAGATAATCAGAATATCCATATATTCTTCATTTTTTTGTTACATATATAATAAGACCTCCGTGGTTTATCAATCAGGCGATTGAAGGTGTCAGCAAAATTAAAGATGGCTACAATCCAGCAACGTGGATGCTAGAAATGACAACAGTCTCTGAAGAACATATCTTAGGTGTTGATTTTAGTGACATATAAAAGAAATCCGAGCTCTACCAGTAAGTAACATGCAATCCTAAGAGCCACTTAACATTTTTGTGTAACTAAAAAAAATACATAGATGACACTTATTTGTCTTGTTACTTAGAGTTCACAAAATGCACATTATAAACAAAGCACATAAATGAATCCTGACAGCAACCAGGAGCTACATACCTAATAACACTATTATTCACTACTGCATATTCAGGCAATCATCAATTACTGCTGGTTGCCAAACCCTTGTCACTGTTGGTCTTGCTAAGGGCCGGCGGCGGTGCTAGTCTATGCTATCACTGCCAAGTGAGCCGGCAACATTGTAAAAATAGAAGGAAAAAAAAAGCAGCTCATAGCGTCCACCGCCGGACCTGCCGCCACTTCACATGCTTGTTGTTAGCCTGCGCATTGCTAGGCCCGCCGCCACCTGTGCCGCATCGAGAGCCCCACAAGGCACCACAGCTGTCGCTGGCATGGGCTCCGCACCTCCACCCATGCCCTATGAGAAGGTGCCACTACCGGCTTCGGGGGCCTACATTGCCGTTGTGGGCCCATGCATGAAGCCACCCTTCCCCAAGATAGAGAGAAAAGGCGAACTAGTGAGTTTGAGAGAGAGAGATCTGAGTTATGGGAGGCTTAGGGAGACGGATGCCACGGTGACGGATTTAACTCTGTTCTTGATATTTCGAGTCTGTTGCCCATATCACTGCTAGTTGTGTGCTAAAGTCCCGTAGTGATCTTATCGTTGCCTGGTCTTAAAGGCAACCAGCAGTGAATCTACAAAACTGGTGGTGATGTTCATGTCCCTTGCAAACTCATAGTGAAATACATGGTAGTTATTTCTGTAATAATGATTATTTATAGGTTATTTATATGGTGCAACTTCTCCATATTATTTTTTCCAATAGCTTATGTAACATTTGCATTGCTGTTTATAGGAGGAACAAGGATTTAATAAAGGAACTAAGCCAACCGGCACCAGGTTCGAGAGACCTATATTTTCCCACTAAGTACTCTCAGTCTTCTTTCACTCAACGTTTGGAAACAAAACATGTCATACTGGAGGAACCCTCCTTACAGCACTGCCAGGTTTATTTTCACTACTGCTACGGCGCGGCCCTTATTTTTGGCACCATGTTCTGGAACCTTGGTAGCAAAATGTAAGTCCAAGTCATGATTTACTTTGTTGTTGTACATAGTGCATAAACATTACTGCCATAATCCCATTCATATTCTGCACCTCAATCCAGAGACAAGTCACAAGACTTGTTCAACGCCTTGGGATCCATGTATCTTTCGGTGATATTCCTTGGTTGCACAAATTCTATCTCTGTTCAGCCAGTCGTGGCCGTTGAGTGAACAGTGTTTTACCGTGAGAGAGCAGCTGGCATGTACTCAGCTTTCCCTTACGCATTTGGCCAGGTGAACTAAGATGTTGCCCTCCTGAAGATCAATTCGTAACCCCATTCATGCTACTTGTTTTGGCATTATTCTTGGGAGGCCGAGATATACATATACTAATTGGTTTCTCTTTTTTTTAGGTTGTAGTCGAGCTCCCATATGCTTTGGTTCAGGCTTCCATATATAGGGTAAGAGTGTATGCACTATGCAATGATCGGATTTGAGTGGACTGCTACCAAATTCTTCTGGTACCTCTTCTTCATGTACTTCACACTGCTCTACTTCACATTTTACGGCATGATGGGTGTCGGGCTCACGCCAAATTACCACATAGCCTCCATTGTCTCTACGGCATTCTACAACATCTGGAACCTCTTCTCAGGGTTCTTTATCCCCCGCCCTGTAAGTGCCATAACTTTACGTTTTCTTTTCCTCTTATTAGAAACACATGTCTCATTTGTGTTCTGGACTTGTTTTTACATGAAGAAAACGCCGATCTGGTGGAGATGGTACTGTTGGATATGCCCTGCCGCATGGACGTTATATGGGCTTGTCTCACAATATGGTGACATCACCACACCCATGGAAGATGGCAGGACTGTGAATGTATTCATAGAAGACTACTTTGACTTCAAGCACAGCTGGCTGGGGTGGGCCGCTGCCATTGTCGTGGCTTTTAGCGTATTCTTTGCCGCCTTGTTCGCCTTTGCCATCATGAAGCTCAACTTTGAGAAAAGATGACGATGATAAGAACTGGGGAGCACCACAAAGAGCTGCACAAACAGATGATGTTTGGTGTATTGCAAAATAATGGATTCTATGTATGAGCGGACAGAACTCTTCACTTCTCTTATGTGTACTGTTCTATATAATATTTATATCCCGACACTACTATAGAAATGCCTTCGCCATCAGTTTGAACCCCCATCATCACTGGATTTTACACTGGGCTATGATATATTGGCAGTGATGGCCCACCTCATCACCGCCGATTTAAAACTGGCGGTGATAATATGTTATCACCGTTGGTTTGGCGTGTGATGCGACTGTGATCGTCCAGTCGTAGTCGGTTCACAGGTTGGTTCTGGCGGTGATGACCAACCTGGCAATGATATGTAATTCATCACCGCCATTTGTTTGTTTGATCCAATGTTGTTGAGTACTTGATCAATGCCAGCCTTTTGTTTGAACCGGCGCTGATGATCATCCTAAGAATGTTGATCACTGCTTGAACTGGCGATGGTTAGTACTAGATGAACGCTGGTCGTCATAGCTCTATCCACGCGTTGATGAGCATGTCATCACCGCCACTTTTTGGCAGACATAGCTACGGCGGTGGTACTGACCATGTTCACAATATTTATTGAAATCAAGCTTAATAGCATATTGACAATGCATAAAGATACATTCATGAAATCCATACATCATATCTGGGCAAAAGTTTGTGATCCCTTTCAACCACATAGAGGTAACGATCGAGCAACCGTATCAGATGGCAATAGATGCCAATGGTGTGATTGGTAGCCACACAATCAAATCAATCGCTACAACAATCCTCAGAACAGACAACAACAGGTCCAGTATCAGGGACTAGAGCAACCGGTTGAAACCTAGGACAGGGGTGCGCCGGTTCGAGAAGGTTTGTTGCCGGCGAAACAAATTGAGCAATCTGGTGCGGAAGGGAACAAAAGCGAAGAAATCACGCCCGCCATACCGTTTTCGTTGTAAGTGTAATGGACACCTGAATGATGCCTGCAAGGCGGACCTCAATTGTTCTGTTTGCAACAAGAAGGACGCACACCTTGCATCCAAATGCCCGCTTACCAAGATGCCCAAGCCTAATATTTCTATGTTCGGTTTTGGGAAAACTGAACTTGGCTTCCTAAAAGTACCGGATTTTGACTTCAAGTTGGAAACTCCAGAGCCGGCTCCTACTACTCTAGTCGCTATTACAGGAGGGAGATTGGAGGCATCTTTAGTCCAAAATGATCTCAAGCGCTTTGTACGTTTAGATTGGAATTGTGAAGCCCGTCTGTAGAGATGGAATGAAGTGGATCTTTGCCTCAAAAATCATGGTGTGACTCTCACCCTTTGGTCCACATTCTTGGGGACTCTCCACCCAACATATACTCAGCCATTGGAGGCAGTTTCACACCCATCAATGTTCGATAGCCTAGCATGATGTCGCCACGGCGGCCCTCCCGCTAGTATCCGCACCATACTCCGTCCTCCCTCGAGCACTAATCAGCCCTCCCCGGCGAAGCAATCTTCCCGCAAGGTCTCCAGCGGATCCTCTCCTCTCGGGCTGGGTGAGATCCTCCTGACGAGTCACGAGCAAGGAGGAGATCTTGTATGGATCCTCTTCTCCGACGAATCTTCGCATGCTTTTCTTCCTCAACTAGCAGATGTTCCTCTTCCTCCACCGACCGATTTGGCTCCTCCCCTCCACAACCATGATGGGCGGATCTTGGCTCCTCCCCTCTACCGCCACGACGGGCGGATCATCGCTCCTCCCCTCCACCGCCAAGACGGCTGAGATTCGGATGGTAGCTCTGTTGATAAGAGCGAGAATAAAATATGACGAGTTGGTCCTATCTGTCATTGTCTACTGAGACGAACTTGAAGGCTCCTGTTGGAGGACATGTAAAAAAAATTAAGCCCTCAAAAATAGGAGTCCTAAAATAAAAAGTTGGAGCCCGGTTACCACTGGAGATGCTCTTAGGAGTATGTATGTAAGAGACCAAATTGAAGAATGAAGCTCTAATTCAAATTTGTATCTTCACAATTCATCTCCTAATTGTTCGATGATGGGGCTAGTTGTGCTGGGAACTACTATTTTCAGTAAAATATACTATTGTTAAAAAATGAGATTATAGCCTCCACTTTATTTGGTGGAGGCTACATCAATCATAAATGTTTTATTGATCGATTCATTGAATTTAATTTCAACTTGAAATTATCTGCATGTCCATGTCGATTCACTATGCAACATAGGATCCTGATCTTTAAACTCTCCATTTAACATAAAAACATCGATCCAAGGAAAACTTAATTAGTATATTGTATAATAATGTTTTTTGGTGAGAAGTCATGAAAGAGCCAAGAGACCTTAGTTAAGGTTTCAACAATCATAATTGTATCTTATATCCTCACCTAACTACATATAAGTTGTCAACCATCACTATTCACTAGACACTATCAAGACATGAATGGGAAATTTATTATTTCAGACGTTTTAATTAGATACTTCCTCTAGTTGCAATTGTAGCCCATTTTTTATCTTCTAACAAATGCAAATAACTTACAGTTTTTTTCCTGTTCTCCTTTTTTCTTGCTGAATATTTTTTATACTTGCATAAACGATCTAATTCTACAATATAGTATGGAAAGCAACAATGCCATTTGACCTAGCTACTTTCCTAATCCATTTATCATATATACTAGAAAACTGGCCGCTTCTTTCATATATAACCTCGGCTTTCTCTTTAGATGGAGTTTATGTCGATATGATTTAGGGAGAGACGGTGCGTGGCAATGGGATCTGATCCTATGAAGAGTGCGAGGTGCTTGATCGTGTCATTTAAGAATTAAGAGGGGAGCACTCTTGAGAGTGGGCCTGGCTACATACACAGCAGGTCAGCAGCCCAAACGGTAGGAGGAACCATCGAAAACAGGCACATCACCAATATGTATTGCATCAACGATAATTCTGAGAAGATGAAGATCATATTTCCATTCTGGATTGGGCCAGAGCACAATTTATTCCTTACCTCTTTGTTCAATTTGAGACCCAAAGATGCTGCCTTCAGTTAAGTTCGACTCCTACAAAGAACACATTAAAAATAGTTTCAAAAATAAGTACAGAAAAACATAGGACAGAGAGATGAAAAGACAATGCAAAAGTCCAACTGATAAAATAATTAACTATATGAACAATTATGCCCCATCGTACTCCCTAGTTCAACTCTTAGTTTTCTAACTAAACACCATTGTACATCAATAGCTGAGTAAACAATTTACAGAACGTTTGAGAGATGTATTTTTTAGTGTCTTTGTCCAAAGATAATTCAGTCTAGCATCCCACAAACGAAATGAAGTACAGATGCTGGGTGCTGAAACAGTAGTATATATCAAAGCCTGCAAACCAATACTTTGTCCCGTTCCAAGTTTTCAAAATTTTAATGACCTTATTGTAATGCAATATTCACAGAAGCATTTTGTAAGAGGTATTTCAACAAGCAAAAGGAGGCTAGTGTATATGTTTGTGAAGAAGTAAGGCCAATGTATCTGAGACACGTTTGATGCCTTTTTCTATTTCTGTGCGAGAGATTTGCATCCATCAGACCACCACTTGTCGATTTGATTCATGTTAAAATTTTAAAGAAATAAAGCTAAGATGCAGCGATACACTTACATTTTAATTGCTTGTACAGTTGCAGGTAGCCATGAGCTGGTGCAGCAACGTAGCACGATTGGCTGAATTGAACACACGACCACCCTTCCCGGCACGGCACCTCGCCATGAACTCAACCCAGTGAACGCAGCCGCGACAGGCCACGACGATCAAGCCATGGGCAGCAACGCCACTGCTATGTACGGCGAAGCTCAACATGGGGAAGCAGGCGTCACCACGACCGTGTGGTCCTGGTGCGCGGCACCGGTAAGGTCCAACCGCGCGAAGCGGCCGCGCCTCGACCGCGTGGTCCCGAATTCCCGACGCGACAGGTCAACCTTGTCCGCGGCAGCTCGGCGGCATTCCGTCGAACTATTCGTGGGCAGGCAAGACACGCCACACCCAAGCTGTATCCGCTTGCTCGTCTGCTCCAATGTGCCGATTTCGGTGTTACTCCCGTGGACGCTCCGCCCTGCGCTCTTCGTCCCTACCTTGCCTTGCCTCTGTCAGCGGTCCTCCCCGTGGAGTTCAAACTGGAAGTGGTGGAGAACTGGAGATGGCCATCCCACGTGGAGTTGCGGGCTTTATGGAGCAAGAGGGCCCGTGGCAGCGGAGCTGTGGAGGGTGGTCGGCAACCATCAGCAGGCGGCTGGATCCAGACGGAGAGATATGGTTGCAGTCTCATCGCTGGCTCGCCATGCTCTGCGGTTCCAACTTCCAAGCGCGGCGCTGATTCACGCGTGCTCGCTGCTACTAGCCAGCACTTGCAGCGGAGGCCGTTCGCAGTGGGACGAGGCCGGTGCCGAGGAGGCCGCGCAACCTGGAGGAGATCGAATCCTCTGGAAACTCTAGCTACACGGTGTGACGATGAACATCCGATCAAAATCCAACGGAACAGGGAAAAAAACGGGCGACGTGGCCCAATGAGTGGCCAGAGCTTGATGTCTACACCACAGGCATTTGTTTGCAACCAGATTATTAGTGTATAATTGCTCGACACACATTATTAGCAGGTCGACCCGCATAAAGACGGAAAAACCAACACTGTAATTCAGTTTTCGTTGGCTGCATTACCTTTTAATTCATTTTAGTTTGAACAAGGCTTGTAACACTTCGATTGCTGCATCATCAGCTCAAGCTTTTGCACACTCTACAACATATCCAAGACACCATCGAAACCTCTCTGCACAACCGGAGATAACAGTATGCATCCATAATGACTGAACCTCTCCCCGGAACACTTCTCTCCTACCCTGAGCGATGGTACCAGACCATACCAGTGCTAGTAAGTAGTAACCTGTCGCAGGGCACAACAAAGGCGACTGTTAAACCTCTGACCCTGAGTGAGCAGTGCAAGGTGGTAGGCCATTGCATTGTACACGCAGAAGCTCAGTCATCAGTCATCATGACTTGGTCTTGAAGGGGACGTAGTGTTTGAGCGACTCGGTGACTCCCTCGATGGACGCGACCGCCGAGGCGAGCGACACCAGGAAGCACAGGAAGCTGAGCAGCTGCAGCGCCACCCACCTGGTGGTGTACTTCTGTATCCGCCGCTGCCGGATGTACATCTCCACTGGGTAGTACACGGTGAGCGGCCAGAACCCGATGGCGCCGAGGAAGCCCAGGATGTCGTTGAAGAAGGGCATCACGATGGCGAGCACCGTGCTCACCACCACGAACGCCGTCCTCCACGTCAGCCTGAGCATGTTGACGTTGAACCTGCCGGCCACGAGGGGGTGTTCGCGCGTGACGAACTTGGCGTTAGGCCAGCGCTTGGCGGCGGCCGTCTCCAAGGCCGCGAAGATGGGCTGGGAGAACACCTGGTACGCGCCCACCAGGTGCACCACGATGCAGACGTTGGCAAAGTCGATCAGCCAGTAGGGCTCGTAGAAGCCGAACCCGGTCAGGATGTTCCCTGGCACCGCGTTCCCAAACGCCGAGTACCCAAGGCAGCCAGCAAGCATGTAGAACGCCGTGGTGGTCGTCACGCCCATCAGGGTCGCCTTCTTTATCGTCTTGTTCTCGGCTGGAGGAGACTTCACCGTGTCCTGAAATTTCAGTTCAGAGTTAGTGACTGACGACCGGTCTTCAGAATGCTAAATTCTGAACATACAGACACGTCGTATGCAGTGCTTGTGCTTACTTGGATTTCAATGAGAATCATGGAGTAGGAGTAAGCGAATGCGATGTTGCCAAGAGCTTGAAGCGCGAGCCAGACCTTCTGGGCTGAATCAACGTCGACTCCGATCTCAGTGCCAGTCAGAGTTGACTTACCAGTACGGCCTGTGACAACACGTACATTACGGCACACAATGTGGCATCAGAGAATGAGAATGATCAGAAGGCCTTAATGGTTGTGTGAGAACTTCATAAAGTTTATAGGTTTGTAGATAGTTCACCTGAAATGGTCCGCGCCAATGAGAGGCCGACAGCGATGGTCGAGTAAGAGAACGACATGATGGCGGCGACGATGGACAGCCACGAAAGGTCACTGAAGTTAGGGAGCTGAGAGAAGAAGATCTGAACGATCCCAAATACGACCATGTACATGGTGTCGTAGGTGCTGCAGTCGGCCGCGTGGCCCTTCTTGTGGAAGCAGTTAGCCTTGTGCACGGCCCTGCTCATCATCATTCAGCCAAAAGGGATTTCTCAATCCACGATGAGATTGAATCTACCAAAACATCACTATTAAATGAGCCTATATATTGCAAGAATTACTTACGCTGCACTGATGGACGCTGTAATTGTATACCCAACGGCGGTTCCAACCAAGTTGACATACTGGAAAACACCACAGGACAAGACTTGCCATCGACCTGCATGATACGCGAATGCATCATCTTCACTGTCGAAATTAAGAAAACGAGCCGTTGGTTTATCTGAGATGAGATGACGGGAGCACAAAGAAGTACCCAGGTATGCGGCGACAGCATCCATGTAGGTGTAGTTCCTCTTGCCGGTGAGCTGATTGCCGCTGCGGTAGCAGTCAGAGAGAAGACTAGAGGTGTAGTACGTGATGAAGGCAAAGATCATCAGGGTGAGCGGCCCCACGACCCAGCCCAGCTGTGCAGTCGACCAGGCGAGGGAGAGCACGCCGGAGCCTATGACGGCTGTGATGATGTGCGCGCTCGCCGTCCATACCGTTCCTGAAACAATTATCAAGATATTGTAAAATCAATCAGTCATCCGTATATAACACAATACAATCATAAAACAATATTAGAGCTAATTTTTGTTCATCATCTCATAAGGTTATTTCTTCCAATAAAAAGAAACAGAAAAGCTTCACATTTGACATATAAATAACTTGATCACAGAAACAATATATTCACAAGACATGTTACTGATTAATATCATATCCATGCACCTTCAATCAGGTAGCATCATGTTAGTCCTGATAGATAATCTACTGCTTACTCGTGTGAACACACAGCAAGAGAAGGCGGCGCCGAACTAGCCCCCTGTTGTGGTACTGTAGCCGCTGTAAAGACAGGTGTCGAACGGCTCACCTGCCGCACTATAGCCACAAGCAGGGACAGGCGCAGAAGTTAGTCCTGCTGTGTTATCTAATAACTGTAGCAGCATGGCTGTTGTACTAGGACCAGATAGGATAGAGTTGTATAAATAGTTTGTCACTGCAACTCAGTAAAGAGAGTTCAGATTTGCCATCTCCTATACATGGCTCCAGCCAACGCTGGTGCTTGTACTATATGTGTATGCTCTGTTCTATCTCTTCTTCAACCTCTAGCCATAGTGTGTGTGGTCGGACAATACCTTGTTCATAGTCGGCTTAGCTAGTGAGTGCTCGGCAACACTAGCGGATGCTCGGCAAGACTAGCGAGTGGTCAACTCAACTGAAGCCGGTGATCCTGTGGGCTAACAAGTGGTATCGGAGCCGTACAAGCGCCGTCGCCGGACTAACCGCTGGCGATGACGAACGGTTCGGAGATGGGCGACAGCAGTGGCACTGCTGTGGCTGCCCAGCCACGACCGGAGGTCCTTGTTCGCACGGTGCGGGAGATCAGTGGCACCAGTTGGCCGATGCTGACTCACACCAACTATGAAGAGTGGTCGTTGATCATGAAGGTCAAGCTCAGAGCCCGACGGCTCTGGAATGCTGTTGACAAGGGCACCGACAATGAGGAAGATGACATGTCAGCGTTGGAGGCTATCATCACTGCTGTACCAGCAGAGTACAGGGAGCCATTGGGGGCGAAGAGCTCTGCTAAGGAGGCGTGGGAGGCTATTGCGGCGATGCGTGTCGATTCCGACCACGCAAAGAAGGCGACGGTGGAGTACACCAACCTCAAGTTCAAGGATGGTGAAACGGTGGAGGACTTCTCCCTCCGCTGCAGACACTCATCAGCAAGCTGAAGAGCCATGGCGTCATCATCGATGAAGAGGAGGCGGTCTCCAAGTATCTCCACTCCGTGCCGGCAAAGTACATCCAAATCGCTCTATCCATAAACACGATGCTGGACTTGTCCATCATCACCATTGATGATGTGACAGGCCGTCGACGGGCGGTGGATGAGCGCTCTGGAGCAGCGCAACAACGAAGGACAACGGCAAACTGCTGCTGACAGAAGAGGAGTGGGCTGCTCGGAGGAACTCCGGGAAGGCAGCCTTCCTCCAGCCGCGGTGGCGATGGCAAGCGCCGCGGCAAGGCTTCTTCGGAGAAGAAGAAGCAAGTTGACCCCAACGCCTGCAGACAATGCGGGAAGACGGGCCATTGGGCACGGGAGTGCCCAAATCGCAAGCAGGAGAAGAAAGCTGAGGCTCATCTGGCGCAAGCTGATGATGATGATGAGGCCACTATCCTGATGACAATGTTCTATGCACTGCACGACATCGAGGCCGAGGAGAAGGAAGAGGCAACGACGGTGGAAGGACCTGGGAAGGCCTTGAAGGTTGTCAACCTCGATGAACCACGCGCCCAAGTCCACCTCGGACGTGTGGGCGCCGACCAGGAGCAGCGGTGGTATCTGGACTCTAGTGCCAGCAACCACATGATGGGCTCCAAGGCAGCCTTCTCCAAGCTCGACGACAATGTTACCGGTACGGTGAAGTTTGGTGACGGCTCAAGGGTGGCAATCCAAGGGTGCGGCACCATCATCTTCAGGTGCCAGAATGGGGAGCACCGCGTGCTAACGGATGTATATTACATCCCGCAGCTGCATTTCAGCATCATCAGCATTGGTCAGTTGGATGAGCGCGGTAGCGAGATACTGATCAAGGACGGAGTCCTTAGGATCAGGAACCGGGATCAACGACTTCTCGCCAAGGTGAAGACGTCCTAGAACCGGTTGTACCTGCTCGACCTAAAGGTAGAGCAACCAGTGTGTCTGGCGGCAAGGCACACCGAGGAACCGTGGCTGTGGCATGCCCGGTTCGGACATCTCAGTTTCAACACGCTTGGTCGGCTGGAGAAGATGGTCCAAGGGCTACCCCACATCAAGCACGCAGGCGAGCTGTGTGACAGCTGCCTAGCCGAGAAGCAAAGGAGGCTACCGTTCCTAAAGGCAGCCAAGTATCACGCGAAGGACGCTCTCGAGCTCGTCCACGGCGACCTCTGCGGGCCGATCACGCGCAGCTATAAACGGTGGTCGGCGGTACTTCCTCCTGATCGTGGATGATTACAGTCGCTATATGTGGCTGCAACTCCTGATGAGCAAGGACAAAGCGGCGGAGGCCAAGAGCGGCAAGAAGCTCCGCGTGCTGAGGGCTGATCACGGCGGCGAATTCACTTCGGTGGAATTCGCTGCGTACTGCGCGGATTAGGGTGTGGTGTGACACCACACCGCGCCGTACTCACCACAGCAGAATGGCGTGGTGGAGCGATGGAACCAGACGGTGGTCGGCATGGCTCGATCCATGATGAAGGCCAAAGGCATGTCGGCAAGGTTCTAGGGTGAAGCGGTGACCACTGCGGTGTTCATCCTCAACAGCGCTTCAACCAAGGCCGTGATGGGCAAGACGCTGTTCGAGGCTTGGTATGGGCGCAAGCCGAGCGTGTCCTTCTTCTGGACATTCGGCTGCATCGGCCACATCAGGAAGACGAAGTCGATCCTCACCAAGCTAGAGGACAGGAGCACACCGATGGTGTTCCTAGGCTACGCGGAGGGTACCAAGGCGTACCGGCTCTATGACCCACGCGAAGACAAGGTACTTATCTCGCGCGACGTAGTGTTCGATGAGAAGGCGGCTTAGGACTGGAGCAGTCCGAGCACGAGGGAAGCTGGCGGCTTCACCAGCACCTTCGTCGTCAAGCACCTGGTCATCCACGGTGGTGGAGACGCTGGGGAAGAGGTGCCGAGCACTCTAGAAGGGGGTGCCGAGCACTCCAGCAGCAGAGCCGAGCACTCCTAGGGCAGTGCCGAGCACTTCAGGAGGGATGCCGAGCACTCCAGGAGGAGTGTCGAGCACTCCTGGAGGGATGTCGGGAGGTTCTGCAGTGGTGCCGACCACTCCTAGACGGGAGGGATGCCGAGCTGCAGAGGGTGGCGAGCACCCGGAGTGGTGTCGGGAGGTTCTGCCGGTGGTGGCACTCGTGATGGGTGCCGAGCACCAAGGAGCCAAGAGGTCTTGCGGTGGTGTCGACCACTCCTAGACCGAGGCTGAGCACTCCTACAGTGGTGCCGAGCACTGTAGGAGTAGTGACGAGCTATCCAGAAGAAGTGCCGAGCACTGCAACCAGAGTGCCGAGCACTCAAGGTGTTGTGCCGAGCACTCCGACGGAACAGGGAACTCCATCAACACTGATTGAGTTCGCCTCACCTCCAAGTGACATCACTGAGTTCGTGGATGCCTTCCACGAAGGTGAGGAGGTGCAGTTCCGCAGGCTGGACGACATCATCGGCGGCACAGGGCCCTCTAGCCTGGCTGGTCAACTACTCAATGATCAAGAGTTGCTGCTCGTCAGCGCAGAGGAACCACCCACGTTCGCGCTAGCCGAGCGTGATGAAAACTGGCGACGGGCAATGCTGGAGGAGATGAAGGCGATCGAGGAAAACGAGATATGGCAGCTCGTCGATCCACCTCTAGGATGCCGTCCGATCAACCTGAAGTGGGTGTACAAGGTTAAGCGAGACGAGCTTGGCGCCATTGTCAAGCACAAGGCGTGCCTCATCGTCCGAGGCTTTGTTCAGCGCTAGGGCATAGACTTCGAGGAAGTCTTTGCACCAGTAGCGCGCAAGGAGTCTGCCCGTTTGCTACTAGCCTTGGCAGCAGCAAAGGACTGGCGTGTCCATCACTTGGACGTTAAATCGGCCTTCCTCAATGGCGAGTTGGCGGAGACGGTCTTCGTTAGGCAACCTCTAGGTTTCGCCATCAAGGGAGTAGAGCACAGGGTGCTTCGACTACGCAAGGCGCTCTACGGGCTATGGTAGGCCCCACGAGCATGGAACACCAAGCTTGACGCCACGTTGGGCGAGCTTGGGTTCCAGCGGTGCGCAACCGAGCACGCGCTCTACACGCGGTGACGGGGAAGGAGGAGCTCATCGGTGGCGTGTATGTGGACGACTTGATCATCACCGGCGCGCGCACGGAGGACATCAACAGCTTCAAGCGCGAGATGGCGACTCGTTTTTGAATGAGCGATCTCAGCGCACTCTCCTACTATCTCGACATCGAGGTGAGACAAGGGAAGGAGGAACTCACGCTCGGTCAGAGCGCGTATGCCTCAAAGCTATTGGAGCGGAGCGGCATGGCTAAGTGCAAGCCATGCGTGACTCCGATGGAGGAGCGACTGATGCTGATGAAGGCCAGCACCGCGGCGAAGGTGGATGCAACACTCTACCGGAGCATCATCGGCGATCTGCGCTACCTAGTCCACACGAGGCCGGACATTGCGTTCGCCGTGGGCTACGTCAGTCGCTTCAGGGAGGATCCTAGAGAGGATCACTGGGCTGCGGTGAAGCGGCTACTGCGCTACATCAAAGGAACGGTGGATCAAGGGATCATTTTTTCCAAGACCGACGGGAGTTAGGCTGCAGCTCACTGTGTTCAGTAATGCAGACATGGCGGAGGACATCGACGGACGACGGAGCACCTCTGGCGTGCTCGTCTTCCTCGAGTCGGCTCCAATTTCATGGCTATCGCTGAAACAGAAGGTGGTGGCGCTATCTTCGTGTGAGGCAGAGTATGTAGCGGTGGCCACAGTGGCGTGCCAAGTTGTATGGCTGCGCCGGCTGCTAGGCGAGCTGACCGGTGCAGAAGCTCACCCACCAGCACTGATGGTGGACAACCAGCCCGCCATCGCCCTCGTGAAGAATCGGTTTTACATCACCGGAGCAAACACATCGACGTAAAGTTCCACTTCCTCAAGGACTGTGTCGATGGAGGGTAGATCATCATCGAGTTCGTCGAAACTGGTCGGCAACTCACGGACGTCCTCACCAAGCCGCTCGGACGTCTTCGACTCATGGAGCTGAAGAAGATGATCGGCATGGAGGGGGTACAGGGGATAGCAGTAGGATTAGAGGAAGAATTGTTAGATAATCTACTGCTTCCTTGTGTGAACACACAGCAAGGGAAGGCGGCGTCGAACTGGCCCTCTACTGTGGTACTGTAGCCGCTGTAGAGGCAGGCGCCGAACGGCTCATCTGTCGCACTATAGCCACATGCAGGGACAGACGCAAAAGTCAGTCATGCTGTGTTATCTAGTAACTGTTGCAGCATGACAGCTGTACTAGAACTAGATAGGATAGAGTTGTATAAATAGTTTGCCACTGCAACTCAGTAAAAATAGTTCAGATTTGCCATCTCCTATACAGGGCTTTGACCAACGCTGGTGCTTGTACTGTGTGTGTATGCTCTGTTCTCCTTCTTCTTTAACCTCTAGCCATAGTGTGTGGTCGGACAATGCTTGTTCGTGGTCGGCTTAGCTAGCGGGTGCTCGGCAACACTAGCGGGTGCTCGGCAAGACTGGCGAGTAGTCAACTCGTCTAAGCCGGTGATCCTGTGGGCTAACAACTCCCTCCCTTTTAGAACCAACAAGGCACAATTTTGAACTAGTGTGTCGTAGACTCCAAAGTTACACTTAGTGGTGGAAATGGATGGCTGAAAATTCGAGCTACCCCAATTCGTATCGCTAGACCTTGTAATATGGTACACATTTTTATAGAAATGGAGCAGATCCAAACATACTCTAAGTCACACTCTGACCTATTTTATTTCATTTATGCAATTTAAAATTTATAAGTAGGGGGTGGAGGATCAACAAGCTATACTTTGACCTGCTACCTACTACCAAAATCGAGTGGCGCATGCCATTGACCCATGTCCCTGACGGTCACCAAGGGCATGATTGGTTGCAGAGCCAGCCTTGAGCCAGGATGGCCAAGCTGCAGGACCGAAGAAGTCGGGTTGAGCTCGTGCAGGTGGTCGTGTTTGGTTGTCTTTGATGTTGGTTCAGTACGAGATGAGGTTGTGTTTGATTGCATGCATGCATCAGTTTTTTGGGTGTCTGGCGCACGGGTCCCTGCATCCTGGGTGAATCAAGTCATCCTACACCATGAGGGAAGGAAAATCCAGAAGACGAAGTCATGCGGGATGGAGGAGGGCAGATGAATGAAAGAATACATGCGAAAGGTGTGAGCAGGACAACCAAACACGCCGCATGAATAAGGTTAGACAACTAAAGGGTGCGAGGACGGTCTGGTTCAGCCAACCAATCACGCCCCAAAGAAACAGGGACACAGTCCAAAGGAATCACTGAACCCTAGAGATAAATGTCACCCTCCCACTGTCCCACAGCCGCATAATTCAGCCACACAAAGGTCTCTCACTCTCTTGCATGCCCCTTGGTCAACAAAGGCCCCCTGATTTGCGTTGGTCCGGTGTACTAAAATCTCTAACTGCTGCTGTCCTCGCTCGGAGATTGCCGGCACACAAAAGGCTATCCTATCTCGTTCAATAGCATGTGCTGCCTCTGCCTAAAATATATATGTTCATCTCACAGTCTAAAAAAATAACTAATTTTATAAAAAATATCATTATGTCACTAATAGATTTATTTATTATAAAAAATATACTCTATAATTATTTATTTAGTATAATAAATGTTAATATCTTTTATATAGATTTCATAAAGCTTAAAGATAATTGACTTCCTAAAAAAACGGGAACTGCACTCCTTTGGGACGTACTCGTCATCCTCACCCCTCGTCATCCTAGTAATGCATCGAGTGTATAATCTAATGAAAAAATAGTCTAGCAGATGAACTCATGCTTCTTCAGAAAATGGGCAATACTGCTTAACCAAAACAGAGGGGAAAAAGGGTATTCTGTTCAGTTCAAAAAACAAAATAGATTTAGAGCAAAAGATGTTATAGGGGTGCGCCAAAAAGTCAGAGACGGCAGGCCTACGGCACATATATGTATTCTTGCATTGGTATACTCATCGCCTCCGTCGACAGACTCTTGCCTGGATATGATATCTCCTCACCGGGTAGCTCCCGTCAAAAAGGTGCGGCCATATTGTCAAAGCACATATTGTGCACTCAATAAAACTCTGCTGAGTGCTGACCGAAAATATTGTAGCATTATATTTCTTTTGTTTTCCATGTGAAGCAAAAAATAAAAAAGTACAATGAGTGAAAAAAAAAGAGAGAGAGAGAAGAAACCAAGACTTCTGTCACTGAAATGTTTAAGGTGTGTTTAGATCCAAAAAATTTTGGTCAAAGAGAACCACCAGGAAGATCAGCCAAAATGGAACTTTCAGTCAGGTATATTTTTAGTTGAAAATTAGGGACCGTGGCATAGAAATGCAGGCTGATTGCGTGTCAAAAAGGGCGGTAACTTTTTTTCCCAACACGTGAAGAAGGAATCTATAAAGGCCTTGTTCGTTTCCATCGGATTGGCACATTCCGGGTGGATTGTTGCGGCATGTTTTTAATCCGGATGAGAATTTAGTTTGGTTCGTTTTTGCCGACCGAATGAAAACGGACCCGGACAAAACTTGCTTCTTTTCAAAGAGAACCACCAGGAAGATCAGCCAAAATGGAACTTTCAGTCAGGTATATTTTTAGTTGAAAATTAGGGACCGTGGCATAGAAATGCAGGCTGATTGCGTGTCAAAAAGGGCGGTAACTTTTTTTCCCAACACGTGAAGAAGGAATCTATAAAGTGAGAAAACAATCAGAAAGTCGCGTGCGTGTAGTTCCATATTCACATTAGTACACAAGGACGCGCAGCTGAAACGTGTACGTAGGCAAATTCGCTTTTAAGCACAAGTACCTTTGATTTTGACTTATATATCCAGTCTAATGTAATACCACGAAAATATTGATTAATTAATTAAATCCACATGGATAGGGCAGGCTCTTAATTATAGCTACATGTGTAACTAACTGATTCAATTATGCATTAAATATATAATCAATGTTTTCTATAGTAGACGGTCTAACAAATAGATAAATATTCTAGAATGCTAAGGTTTTTTTTTTGACAGAGATAGACAGATAATCCAGTTTCTCTAAGACTAGATATATATTATATACCAATAAGTGATCAACTTATAATTGGTTTCAAAGCTGCAGCTGCAGCAGCAGCTGCAGCCACAAGTAGCAGTAGCACTGCCATTACAGTTATGAGAAGGCGACCGCTGTATCTGCATGGCCCCAGCCCTGTATCTGGCCCGTGGCATTTGACCTGGGTCTGCGCTGGACCAGCGCGCGACGACCCATCCCATGCCCGCCGGTCGTCGCCACAGCCACAGGCGCGTCTTCCTCCTGGCTTCCGGGTGCGCAATAAGACAAACACGATCGGGCTAATCAGGCAACGATGCAACAGCTGCCGTCCCCAACTGGTTGGGCGGTGCACGTCATGATGTCAGGGACGGATACAAGACCTGCCGAATAGCTACTCGTAGCGCGTATGGCGTACGCCTCATCCACAAGCTTCAGGTGCTGCTGATTCTGCTTCCGCCGATGCCACCGAAGTTTTAAGCCATTACTACTTATTACTATGATTATGGGCTTTATGGCTAGTATGATTACCAAGGCAGATGCATGATACTACACCGCCCGTGTTAAATTTGGTCGTAGTTGAGGTTGGTGTGTTATGCTAACAACGCAAAAGAGATTGCTAATCAAAGAGAAAGGAAAGGGATCATTCTTCAGAGTGGCCCTCCTCGCGCTCACGGTACTTCCTCGAAAGAGAGAGCAAAGCAAATTGCCTAGACGTATCTAGCCGAGAACATTCTTCAGAGTTATAATGGTGTTCTGAAGGATTTGAATACCTGCCTAAATTCGCTCAGTGCAAACAATAAGAACAACGGTTTACTTCGAGTATGGTGAGGCGTACAGTCCGCCGTATGGACGCCGGACTGCCCCCAAGTTTCTTTTTATAATTTCCAGGAAAGGCAGGAAAAAAAAAGGAGAGGCACGTCTACAAACAGAAGAGACGGCGGCGGCCGGCGGGGCTAGACATCGGTGGTGGTTCGATGACTTCGATCACTTACCGGTGCGCTTCTTCCTGCCGTCGTCGTCGAGCTCCTCGCCGCCGGCGCCGTTCCGCGGCGGCTGAGGGTAGTAGTGCGCCCCGTCGGCGCCGAAGCCGGGGCCGTGGCGCGCCGCCATCTCCAGGTCCTGCGTCATCTCCGCGGCCGCCTGGGACGGGCGTGCCGTGCGCTGGGGCGGGTGGGGGATTTTTGTTGTTGCTAACTCGAATCGAAGAAAGAAAGAAACCCGTTCGAGTAGAGAGGGCGCCGCGCGGAGAGCCAAAGGGCCGCGCCAGATTTTATACACGCGGGAGTAGAGTAGTGACGCGATTAAGGGCGTCCGACGCAGCACAGGGCCGCTGCCTGTAGGGCCCAGGGTACAGTCGAGTTCGAGCCAGATTTGAAAGGGGGAAAAAAAAGCTGTTAAAACGCGTGCCTGGCCCGAGGCCGGGACTCGGAAGCACACTCTCTCTCGGGTCTCGGCTGTGGGCGCCTGCCAACTGACATGCGGTCAACGTGCGTGGCGTGGGGAGTCAAACTACGGCTAGAATTAGTAAATGTGTACTGGGCCACGTTTAGTTCGGCGAATCGGCGCCACCGAGGTCACTGTAGGGCGTTGCGTGGGGAGTCAAACTACGGCTACAGTGATATTTTGTTTTTATTTGGCAATAATTATCCAATCGTTGATTAATTAGGCTCAAAACGTTCGTCTCGCAAAGTACAACCAAACTGTGCAATTAGTTTTTGATTTCGTCAACATTTAGTACTCCATACATATACCGCAAGTTTGATGTGACGGAGAATCTTCTTTTTGCATAGTGTCAAAGTTTGGAATTGGGGTGAACTAAACACCCCCTGCTACTGGATAGAGCAGCCAAACAATCTCACTTTGTTGAATGCACTGTATAAGTTAATTTGGATTATGGATTTTTCGTGTGATCTCCGTCTGGATTGAAACAGGCCGGCCATAAAATATTTAGATCTGATGGGTTTATAATTAGCGGTAGATCAAAAAAAAAATTAAGAGAATTATGTATTTGGCACTGAAACAAATCACTCTTTCATATTTGGCACTGGAAATTTTGAACTTCCTTATCTAGCATCAACTTGAAAATTTCTTCCATATATGACACTTCCATCCATTTGATGCAGTAACAGTGTCAAGTGTCACCTAAAATGACATATATGTCCTTCTATATACCAGCAACATGTAGTGCCACATAGGAAAAGAATAAATGAACATAATATCAAATAAGGAAAGCACAAATATCACAAATATACTTGTGAATGAAACATAGCATTTTGATAATTGAGGCCCTGTTCGCTTGGAGGAATTTGGAGAAATCTAGATGAATCTGTAGGAATTTGTGAGAGCGTGAACAGTGAATTTTAGCTTAGCACAGTGAATTCCGACTGGTATTCATACCAGTCGAACGGCCCCTAAAGAGTGGCAATAATAATCATTAAATTTGATGCACAAGCTTCACAAATCTGACCACATTGTCAGCATACTTAAAAAACAAAAAAAATGTAAACACCTTGCACACCTCATATTAACTCAACAAATCCATACAATAGGGGTTTAAGTTCACATGTCCAGGTTCATAAATATGCATACATTACCAGGTTCATAAACATAAACACATGAAGGTTCATACATAGGGGGTCTAAGTTCATATTACAGAATAGCAGGTTCATCATACACACATCAGTTGCACTATATTATAGTTCATAGACCATATGTCTTACACATTGCCAAGCACATCTACATATAGAATCACAAGCTCAACTGTCTCTTGCTTCTTGTGCTATTTGCAGGACAAGCTTAGCTGTTTTGTTTCTGGTGCCCATTGCAGGGCTGTCAAGTGGCAGCATAGGAATTTTTTTTTAGGTTTGAAGCAAGTTTTTTCTTGGTCCTTTTAGCCTTCTCTTTTCTTAGAGAATGAAACTTGGTAGAAATTGGCTTGGATTGATTGGAGCCGCTTCTTGACCTGCACATGTACATATATCGAAGTTGAATTTAGATGTAACAACAACAGGAAGAACTACCATATCAAATGTAACATGTTACCTTTTTTATGCTCTAGAGCTGGAGTTACCATGTTTTTTATTTTTTTTGCTTGTAATCTCCATGCTTTGGTTATGGTGAGAGTAGACTGGTAATTAGGTTCTCTAATTAGATTGGAAACCATATTTCATTAAATAAAATACAAAATAGATCTTAATACCGGTTTGAACTCTTTGATGGTCCAGATGTAGAGTCAGGTTTTCTTCTCTTCTTCTTACTTGTTATCTTCTTAATTGGTGACTTCTTAGATGTAGTTCCCAAGCTTTGACTACGTTATCAAACAATATAATTACAAATCAGCACAGGTGAGCAAATTTTGTACATAAAAATCAGCATAAGTGAGCAGATTTTATAATTAGAAATCAGCACAACTGAGCACAAGTAAGCAAATTTTGTACTTAGAAATTTACAAGTGAGTAGATTTTATACACACAAATCAGCAAAAGTAATCAAATTTTGCACAAGTTCTTAGATTTTGCACAAGTGAGCACATTACCTAGGTAGAAAAGACATAGATGTCCAATCTTCCTCCTTTGATGCCACTTCGTCATAACCATTTGCCTAATCTTGTCCATCAAGTCATCTAAGTTCATGGATTTGTGAGGCTTGATCCAATTATTGAATCTCTCTGCCAAATTGTTTGTAACATAGTCAACTTTGCATATGGTCAAGAACTGACTCCTAGTCCATGATTTTTTATGGCATTGCCTTAGATAATCTATTGTGGCTGGCCTAGCCACCTCCATTGTTGTCCAATGTTTCTCAAATAAATAGGAGTTCCACGAGTATGCTGTAGGCCAAAGATGGTCATCAAATACCTTCCCATGGAATTTCTTCTTGAAGTTTGACACCAAGTGAAACATGCATTCTCTATGTTTAGCTTGTGGAAACACTTCTGCTACCCCTGCCATCACAGCCTGTCCAGCATCAGTGCATATGGCTAAACCCCTCGGTGATCCAATCACCTCTCTAAGCTGATTCATAAACCATATCCAGTTATCATTTGTTTCAGAATCAAAGACTCCTAAAGCAACTGGATACAACCAATTATGTCCATCTACAGCAGATGCACTAGCCAATTGACCTTTGAATTTGCCTGTCAGAAATATGCTATCTACTGTAAAATATGGCCTGCAACCACTAAGGAACCCTTCTATGCAAGGTTTCAAGGCAAAAAAATCTTCTAAATCTAATTTCATCTGCAATAGTGTGATGATCAATAATTACTAAACTACCAGGGCAGCAGCTCTCAACTTGTGCCTTAAATCTGTATAGATTATCGAAACTGGAGTTCCAATCACCATATAGATGCTTCAATGCAAGGTTCTTACCATCAAATACTCTCTTGTAGTGGATGGTAACCTTGTAGTGTTCTTTGAGCTTTTCTTGCAATGCACTTGCTCTTAGAGTTGCATCCTGTATGAGCCAGTCCTTCACCTTTTCACAAATCCAGTGTCTGGTGGCATTCCTCACTCTCTTCTTTCTTCTACTACTAGAGCAGCAATGAGCACTAGGGTTCTTTTTCACCTACACAAAAAGTCAAACATAGTAAATTAAATATACATATCAAGTTTGCAATAAAAGCAAGATGTGCAAGTTTGAACAGTAGATAATTACCATTATTGTTATTTGATCAGCCGTTGTAGAAGCATGTATCCTCCATGGACAATTATCGGCTTTTTTCCTTGAACAATAAACCCTCAGCCGTTTTGGTCCACTTCTCTCTGTATTATACTCAAACTCATTTTTGATTACATGCTGCGAAAGAGCCAACTTAAACTCTGTCATATTGGGATACATACTGCCTACTGTCATCGAAGGGTCTTCTTTGTCATATTCCACATGCGGGCCATGATTTGGATCTTTTTGCATCTCATTTTCTGTCATCTCATTCTCTATCACCTCCTGTTCACTACCAGATTGTGCCTTATTTTGAGTTAATGGAACAGAGGCCTTCTCCTTTCCTTTATCAGAAGGGACAACTACCACACGGTCTTCCTTTAAATACATACCCTCCTCATCCACACCAACATGCTCATTGTTTGTTAATGGATTCATGAGATAGGTATCGAAGTCTTGTTCTGTGTCATCCTTATATTGTGCTTCTCCTTCAAATTGCCATTCAGTGATAGGCTTGTAAGGTTTAGATGGATTACAATAAGCAATGAATATCTTGATGACCTTTTCCTTATGTTTACTGAACATTACCATCAGTTCTTGGTCTGACGTTACTTCTAGAAAAGTTTTTAACTCAGCATCATAGTATTGCACATGTGGAACTTCCAAGTACCCCGGAGGATACTGTTGAACAATGGATTGAACAAGGTCCGTATAATTTGTGAAATCAACATCCACAACCTTCTCCAAGGAAAAACATCTCACATCCTTTCTACTTTTCTTTGGATTGCTAAGAAGGTGAATTTTGAGCAAGTAACTTGTATCTGTATCCATTCTGTGTGTCCAAACAACAAAACAACTACTACATGACCACTTGTACGGTGCAACTATTGCTACTGAATCGTACTGGACATTAAGATCCCAAGATAACTCACCCTTCATGCAGTTGTGTTGGCGCTGGTGGGCCACTATGCAGGTCGGTGCGCCATTGGATGAGTCGGCCGTTGCACCACTAGGACTGCTGCATGGGGAGGCCGCCACGCCCAGTCCGCTGCGTGGTCTGGTCGGAGCTCCGGTGGGTGAGCTCGCCCCGCCGTGTCTGCCGCGCTCTGGCCTGCACCCCACGCCATCGGGCGAGGCCGCCCCGCCATGCCGCGAGCTGCCGCTAATGCCACCGGGTGAGGCCGCCCCCCGTGCACCACGCGCCGCCGTGTTCCCCGCCGGACCCGCGCCTCGATCTGCGACCATGGGGCGAGCTTGGCTGACTGTGGGGTGCCTCGAGCTAGGGGACCGGCCCCGTGAGTTCCTTGTCACCGGCGGCCAGTGCCTCCTTTGCCCCATCCTCATCTCCTCCGGCCTCCATTCTCTCTAGGGTTTCATGTCTCTTGTTTTCAGAAGAGAAGAGCGATGGGAGAAAGCAGGAGACTCGGGGGAGAAGGGGAGATGGACGCATGCACGAGACCGAGGACCTG